TTTTTTTTTTTCATTTCTTTTGTTTTTGTAGGTTTTGTTTTCACTGAGACTTTATGTTTTTCTTCTTTATTTTGATGAGTAGGTTTGTTAACTTTCTTTGTGGTTATCTTGAAATTTACCCTTATCTTCCTAGGTGCAAACCAGTCTGTTATTACTTGGTATCGCCTTGCCTTTCTCTCCATTAGAAGGTTCTATACCTACACCATTTATTCTCTCTTTTATTGTTCTGATGTCCTCTGGTTCCCTGTTGTAATTCTTTTGGTTTCGGATAGTCCTTAAGAGTTCATTTCCTAGATTGGTATCTGGCTGGTACAATCCTGTGTCCTAGATTCAGCCTGTGGTCTGATGTTGTTTGTTCTCAGATCCAAGGACTCCCTTTAATAATTCTTGTAAGTTTGGTTTGGTTTTTACATAGTCCTTTAATTTCTGTTTATCTGGAAATGTCCTAATTTCACCATCATATTTGAACGAGAGTGTTGCAGGATGTATTATTTTTGGCTGGCAATTTTTTCTTTCAAGGTTTTATATTTGTCATCCCATTGCCTTCTTGTCTGCATGGTTTCTGTTGAATAATCCCAGCTTAGTCTTATTGTTTCTCCTCTGTAAGTGACTTTTTGTTTTTCTCGATCTGTTCTCAAGATTCTTTGTTTGTCTTTAGTTTTAGCAAGTGTGATTATGATATGCCTTGGTGATTTTCTTTTGGAGTCTATCCTATATGGGGTTCCTTGAGCTTCTTGGATGGTCGGCTTTTCATCTTTCATGATATTGGGGAAGTTGTCTGTCAGCAGTTCTTCAATGATCCTCTCTGTGTTTTCTGTTTTCTCCCCCTGTTCCGGAACTCTGATCACCCGCAGAGTTTTGCTTTTGACTGTAGCCCATATAATTCTCAGGGTTTCTTCATTTTTCTTCATTCTTTTTTCTGTTTCCCTCAGAGTCGTATCCAAGTGTTTGTCTTCAATTTTGCTGATCCTGTCTTCCATCGTTTCAAACCTGCTCCTCAGCCCTTCTATGACACTGTCCGTTTCTGAAATCTTGTTGTTTACCTTTTGGATTTCTAATTGTTGTTTTTGTATGATTTCTAGTTGTGAATTTATTTTGGCATTTTGTTCCTGTATTTTCGTGAATTCTTCCTTTTTTTTTTTTGTCTGTTTTTTCCATGACTTTGTCTATTTTTTCCTCATTTTTGTATGCTTTTTGCTTCAACTCTTGGATAGCTCTGAGTATTAGAGATTTGAATTCCCCATCAGGTACTTCTAGTGCCTTTTCTTCTACTGGAAAGTCATCTGGTATTTTATTTTGGATGCCTACTGGAACCATCCTGTCCTGTTTTTGTATATGTTTTGATATTGTCTGCTGTCTTCGGGACTTTCAGTAGTTATTTTCCTCATTTATTGATTGTAGATTTGTGTGTTTTGTCCTGCTTTTTGTTTTATTTGGTTATATCTGAGCAGGCGGGCTGTGCATTCTTTGTTGTTTGCTCATCTGTAGGCACGATACTTTTCACCTCCTTTTCCAATGTGCAGGGTCAGTCACTCAGGTATGGTACAGCAGGGTAGGTCCAGCTGAAGGAGAGTTGCTGGGATGGGTTGTTTATGGCACGTGGTGGGTCTGACAGGGCGGTCGGGAATCAGTGCAGGGCAGGTTCTGGTAGGCCATGCTCATGCTGCTTGGGGTTGTGATGTTCAGTGCACAGTGCAGGTAGGCAGGTAAGAGGGGGAAGATTGTGATGTTTGGAGCTAAGATGGGTATGGGGAGGAGGAGACAGAGGAGAGAGGAACAGGAGCCAAAAACATACAAACAAAGAAACAAGCAAAAAAAGAATGCTAAAGGAGGTTGCCGTTGGAGTGGAGAGATGAGAGACTGAAAAATGGAGAAAAACAGAAAAGAAAAGAAAAAGAAATAGGGTAAAAGAAAAAAACGAATAAATAAAAATTAGAAAAAAAAAAAAGTCCCCAGAGATCCCACCAGTGCGGCTGCGAGGACTAGCGAAGTTGCCCCCAGGCTGTGAAGTATAGCCTGGCTAGAAGGAGTAGAGGTGTCACACAGCGCCAAGTATTCAGGAGACAGGAAGAGAAGATAAGTACAGAGAGACGAGTAACTGAGAAATGAAGAAAGACAAAAAGGGAAAAAGAGAAGAAAACAAAACAAACAAACCAAAAAAAGAAATGCCCCCAGGAGTCCTACTGTGCGTCTGCACAGAGTAAGGGAGTAGCTCCCAAGCCATGTAGTTCTGCCCGGCTAGAAGTGGCTCCCAAGCTGAGAAAAGAAAAAGAAAACAAACAAATAAGTCAAAACTGAACAAATCAGAACAAACAAACAAAAAATGCCTCGGGGGTTCCACCAGTGTGGCGGCATAGGCTGGGAAGCAGTTTCACAGTCGAGCAGTATTTCACAGCCTTTCAAGAAGAAGCAAAGATGGCACACAGAGCCAGGTATTTGATAGAAAGGAGGGGGAGGTGGTGAGAGGTAAGGAAGAAATCTAAAGAAGCCAAAAAAAGCAACACCAGCAGCCAACAAATGGCACTCAGGGAGCTGGCCAGTACTTGCAGGTGGAATCCAAGTGGCTCCAGGGTGAAGCCAGTGCTTCCCATCCAAGAGACTGTGGCCGCAGGAAGCAGAGGAGGCCAAGTGGGGGTGAAGAAGGGTAGGGGGTGGGAAAGCGTATATCGCTGGTTACCAGTTGTTCTTTCTCCTGCTGGAAGCTCCGTGAAGCTGCTTTCTCACACCCCCTGTTTTCCAGTCTCCAGTAGGAGTCCAAGGTGGCAGATCCATACTGTGTTAGCTGATAGGGGACCTCTGCATGTATCTCTCCTCACTCTCTGATGTCTGTCAGTTTCTTGTTTCATTTGGTGCTTGGCTGAGCTCTTTCTGTCTTCATTTGATGCTTAGGGTTTCAGGATTGACATGTGTCTCTGTTTAACTTAGTTTTTCGAATCTTTGCTGTGGAGGTATAGCATGGTGCTTCTGTCTATAGCGCCATGTTGCCCGGAAGTCCCCCTCCAACTTTTTGGTTAGCAGCCGAGCACGTTGACCCTTTGCACCACCCAGGGACTCCAGGTGCAGCACAAGTGCTCGATAAATGTTTTTAGAATGAATAAATTTTGAAAAAATTCAAAACAAAGTATTCAGATTTTTTTGCCTGTAAATTTAGTCATCTGGAATACAGCCATGATTTCAAAAGTGAGTACCTGCTCCAAAAATAAAATAACAGCTTCTGTGTGTGTGTGGCAGTGGGTGGGGAGGGGTATGGTGGCCCTCTGAGCAGCTTACTCACAGGCAGTGTCCAGTGAGTGGATACAATATTGCATCAGTGTCTACTTAGTAGTGTGTATAAAATTGACGTTACTAATTTGTCGAGAAAGTTGTTTCCTCTGACAACCTTCTCTTCTGCCTTATCAGTCAGAAGCAGCTGGGGGATCAAAACAGAGCCCACAGTAGCAGCAAGAAAAAACAGCTAGGAAACAAGAAAGAGTACTTCTAAAAGCTCAACGATCTGAGGCTTTTCAACATAAGGGTAAACAATCTGACTTAAGTCAATATCCTCTAAGAGAATCGGTGTTTTGGTAAAGTACAGTAGTTAATATTCCGGGTAACAGTCTGAAGTCATCAAGGAAAGTTTAGATGAGAGAAATTTCTTATTCCCTTCTTCTCATGCTCCCTTAAAGGGAAACTTGAGCTCCCTGGAATGACCAAAAAAAACCAAACCCATTTGCTGTCAAGTCAATTCCGACTTATGGAAACCCCATGCGTTACAGGTAGAACTGCTCCATAGGATTTTCTGGGCTGTAATCAAGCAGATGACAGGCCTTTCTTTGTGGAAGCAGATTGCCAGGACTTTCTTCCGCAGTGCTGCTGGGTGGATTGGAACCATCAACCTTTAGGTTAGAAGACAAGCGCAAACCATTTACGCTACCTAGGAACCAGGGCTGCAGTAATACTTTGAGCTCTCTGTCCACTCCTTGCCTAACTCCATCCACAGGGAGGAGGAGGGACACGCGCGTTCTCCCTCTCGCTCTTCCTGCCTACAGGATGGGCATGTCGGTTCTGGTCCTATTGTGCATGTTAGCTCACGTGAGACACAGCCAGATCTACCTTCTAGATGCAGAGCTAAGTCCACATCTCTCTGCCTCTTCTCCTGGGGTTGTTGGGTGTGTGCCTGCTAGGCACACCCAAGCTGTCTGTTAGGGAAATTATCCCAAAATCTAGATTTTTAGAGCAAGGATTAGGAAGCCTGAATACGGCTGTCCATCTACAACCATGTTCTCCAATCCAGCTAGATCTGTTTGCTAAAAGCACATATTTTGGTATCTGTCTGGATGATTCACGAGTCTACTTCTCAAATGGTTTGAAAGGCCCAAGGGAGGGGAAGAGATGTGATTAATTATCACTCCCAAACCTCTAATATTCACCACAAACTATTAAAGCAGAGGAGTATATTATATAATTTAGAATAATTTCATCAAAAGATTTTTTTTTAATTCTCAGAATTTGCAAAGGAAGGATTCAGATATATTAAAATTTTCAGCATTTCAAAGCATCTCATTTCCCTGAGGATGCAAATTAAACAATGGATTATCATACTCATTTTAGACAAGAAAAAAAGCAAGGTTTCAGATCCCATAACTTTCACCCTATTTGACGTGGTCCAGGCACCACATGACTAAAAGGAAGCAAAGTACTTTTCTTCTCCCTTACAATTTGGCATTACCCTGTGCTTTGAGCAAAGAAATATGAGCCGACACGGTCAGTTCTGGGTAGAAATTTTAAAACCCAGTATTTGATGGCCTCACTCACTTCCTCTTTCCCCCCATCATGGAGAACGGCAACAGTCCAGATAGTGCCTGCTACATGAGTCTGGATCCGGGGTGATGTCCAGGCATGGCAGAACCTCCAGTTCACCCACAGTAGACGTGCAACATGAACAAGACATAAATATTTGTTGTGTTAGGGGAAAAAAAGAAAAAAAAAAAAAGGAAGCAGTGTCATGGTGAGTGACCTACCCTGAGTTGGAGCCCCCACCAGGAGCACTTGTGTCAGGGTCCCATTCAGCATCACACGGCCACTGGACAGGGAAGTGCCCAGTTTCCCCATTGCCTGTGAAATGCAATAAATCAATACTGTAGAGCTAAGAAAGCTTTGTCATGCTCGTACTCCTGGGGAGGGGCTGCCATACCTTGTCTCCGGAAATTGTAAACCAGCTTTGACAATTTGGCGGGAAATAGCCATACACCCTTCCGAGGTTTGGTTTCTCATCCCGGTTGTGGAATAAATAGCCTAGACTGGAACAAAGCATACTGGGCTCAGCTGCCTGGCACAGGATTAGAGGCCGGCCAGGTATTCAGAGAGGCAAGCAGCCCTGGACCAGGTCCAAGGAAAGAGAATGCACCTCACCCCCACCCCTGCCCGCCACCTGCTCTCAGTACGCATGATCCTAGGCACGGGAGCATGTGAACTTTCAGAGTTAATCTCAACATCAAGATTCTCCAGATACCACGCCCACCATTCTACCTCCCAGTTTATACCAAATATGTTGTTGTTAAAGCTATTGAGTTGGCCCTCCACTCATGGCAACTCCATGCACAGTGGAACAAAATGCTGCCCAGTCCTGTGCCATCCCCATGATCGGTTGCAGATTGGACTGTTCTGAAACATAGGGTTTTCATTGGCTGATTTTTCAGCCATAGATTGCCAGGCCTTTCTTCCTCTTCCATCTTAGTCTAGAAGCTCTGCTGAAACCTGTTCAGCATCACAGCAGCATACAAGCCTCCACTGAAAGATGGGTGATGGCTGTGCATGGGGTGTATTGGCCAGGAATTGAACCCAGGTCTCTTGCATGGTAGGGGAGAATTCTACCGCTGAACTACCACTGTCCTCATACACCAAATATAGGGATATCTATCTACCTAATTTTTGAACTTCTAAGCAGGAGAATTTACAACCTTGTCAGAGCCTTAGCTTTTCCTCAGAGGGGAAGACGTTCTTAACCTCTTTCTGTAAACACAACACTGAATGGGTTTCCAAAGGAGCGCTTACTGACTCCTTGGGTTTGCTGGTCCCTGGGCTCCAACACCAATGCTCACCTGCTGGCATTCTTCCAGGTCGGACTCCCAACCAATAGCAAAGTCCTGCTGTTCACGCTGACACTGTGGAGGGAGTATCCGAACCAGGCGAAATCCTCCTCGCCTCTTACCAACCAGTCAGCTGCCTCCACGCTCAGCTTTTCTAAACAAGACAACCAGTCCCTTTTACTTTACATGGAAGATGAATGGAGTGGAAAGGGTGGGCCTTTGTGTAAGCTGATGAGAAACTGGGGTTCTTTCTGCTGAGTTTTTGCCAGAATTCTTATATGCCCCCATGCTGATCCCAGTGTCAGAAAGGATCTCACACTTCATTCAAGAAATCCACTTCTAGAGCTCATTTCTGTGGTGTGAAGACCACAGAATATTTAAAAGGAGCCCCTTCTGTAGACATTTTAGAGCCTTACTGGCAAGCCTTTGGTCCTAAGCCTCCTTAGAATATCTATTCTTAGGAGACTATGAGAATAACCCTGCCCCCTTCAGATCTGGATCTAGAAACTGGATCACTTTTTTTTTTTTTTTTTAATAGTTTATATTATGTTGTTGTTGTTGTTGAGAAAATACACAGCAGAACACATGCCAATTCAACAGTTTCTACATGTACAATTCAGTGACATTGACTGCATTCTTGGAGTTATGCAACCATTCTTATCCTCCTTTTATGAGTTATTTCTCCCCCATTAACATAAACTCATGGTCCCCTATGTTTCCTATCTAATCTTTCAAGTTGCTGTTGTCAGTGTGATCCCATATAGCTAGATGTTAAAAAAGCATAATGCTCAAGGAAGACATGTTTTACTAGTTAAGCTAGACTACTGTTTGGTTTTAAAAAAATTTCAGGGGATATTTTTGGTTCAAGGTTTAAAGATATCTCAGGGCAATAGTGTCAGGTGGATCACTTTTTCTAATATTCAGTAAATCTATCAATGTCACTTGCTAGGACATCTGTAAGAGTGTAGCATAATATGGGAGGAGGAAGAAGGACATAAACTCATATGCAAGAGAAATAGTCACAGACACAGAGAGCAGCAGTGGTCTCTTCCCTTTGCCCCCATCAAGCATTACCTTTGTCGTTCTGGCTGGGGCCAGAATAAAACGTGGCCACAATTCCCTTCTGCTTCCCTCCACCCGGTGCAAAAGGGGAGCCAATCACCAGATCGGGCTCACTGTCTCCATTCACATCTGTGGCCAGGAGTGTCCAGCCCAGGTTACAGTAGGCGTCCTTAAGAGGAAACCAGGAAACCACTTTTTACTCAGCGCTGGAGGCAAGGAGGAGGCAGCGAGTTCTAGTTTTCTGCACCTGGCTAAGGTGGTAGGTAAACATACCTGGCATGAGATGGTGATGTTAGGGGAAGAAGACATCCTTCCTCGTCGAGAACCAAAGTAGACGTACACTGCTCCCTAGATGGGGACAGACAGCAGGGTGATCAGAAGACTCAGCTAGTGACCAAAGAACTTTCAAGAACAGCCAAGGCCAAGAGGACTGACTGTAGTCAGGAGGGTAATGGCTGTCAGAAACTGGACTTGTGCATTGCTGCATGGCACAGTGACTTATCTTTAAGTCTGTCATTCCCAACAGGCAGAGAGAGCACTCCTGTCATGAACGGAGTTGTGTCCCCCAAAAATATGTATTGTAAATCCTAACCCCTATACCTGTAGTTATTATCCCATTTGGGAGTGGGCTTTCTTTGTTATGTTAATGAGGCAGTATTAGTATAGGGTGTGTCTTAAATTAATCTCTTTTGGGATATAAAGAGCAGATTAAGCATGCAAAGCAAGCACAAATGGAGGGGAAGATACATGCCACATGATCACCAAGGAACCTAGAAACAGAAACTGAAAAGCGGCAAGGACCTTCCCCCAGAGTAGACAGAGAAATCCTTTCCCTAGAACTGGTGCTCTGAATTCAGACTTCTGGCCTCCTAAAGTGTGAGAAAATAAATTTCTGTTTGTTAAAGCCACCCACTTGTGATATTTCTGTTATAGCAGCACTAGATAACTAAGATACTCCCAAAGCAGAAACTGTCGTTTTTATCTTTGCTTCCCCAGGGTCTGGCTCAGGGTCTGCCATATATAATTGTTCATTGTTTGCAGAATGACTTGTTCAGCTCCTCCCCCCATTCAAGGCTAAGCTCGGTTTCTGGCTCCTCCATGAATCCTTCCCCCATCCTGCCAGCCCATTATACCTCTGAACACTCAGCTCACCATGTCTGCACCATTCTTTTGTCTTGGGACACATCCTGTGCTATTGCTTTGTGTTATGAATCAAATCCCACCTTATTACTTTCCTGTCTCCATCTCCATTCATTTATTCATTCTACCAACATTTATTCCCCAGCATCAGCCAAGTACTGGAGACACAAGATGAATAAGACCAATCTTGGTCCTCCCGAAAGGGTGGTAAACAATTGTGATGGAGCGTGCAAAGTGCTACAGTAGGGGCAAGTACAGGATGCTATGTGAAGATAATGAAGCATTGCCTAACCCAAGGGTTAGATAATGCTTCCTGCAAGGAGCGATATGTCACTCCTAAAGAAAAAAAGGGGAGAAAGGGCTTTTCAGGCAGAGGGAACTATGTGAGCAAAGACCCCAAAGTGGTGGGTTCAGGAAATTACAAATCTTTTGCAGGTCAGAAATAGAGTGTGAGGAGGGAGGGGCAGAAGATGAGCCTGCAGAGGGCCAGGAGCAGGTAATAAAGGGCCTTGGCCTCCACGGTCACACCAGGGCCCAGGTGCTCATGGCCAGCTATGGTATGAAGTACATGTGGGAAGAAAGCCCTGTGGCCCTGGGGCCAGGAAGTCTGCTCTTGGTAAGAAGACAGAGGGAACAGGTTGGGTTCTGTGCATGAGAGGAGAGGTCCAAGGAAGTCACATCTCTGCTGTGATGACAGGAAGCTATAGACTGGCTAGAATTTGTTTCCCTTCACTAGCATTCAGCATTGTGGGGGGAAAAAAAAAGTAAAGTAACCTGGTGAAATTTGGAAACTATGATGCAAAAATAAAGCCAGGGTGTGGGGGCAGGGGGTGGGGGTGGAGGGCAGGAAATGGGCTGGCAGGTAAGCTGAGGTCGTGTCAAGGACCCAGATGGGGCCCAAGCTCATCTGCCCACAAACGCTTCACCCAGCACCTTCGGCTGTCTGCTTGTCTCCAGAGGCTCTATCCTGCACTGGTCTCCCCTAAGTGTCTCCTCTGCTTCTACCCCATTCTTCCAAGCAATGGGGAAACACCCCACCCGCCACACACCAGCCTTACTTTGTATGTGAGCTGCTCAGAGCCCACTGAGGGGGCTCCCACTGCCAGGTCAGGCACCCCATCCTTGTTGAAGTCCAACACAGCCAAGGCTGAGCCAAACCGACCTGAGGGCTGGAGAGAGACAAGTTACTTCCCCTGGCTGAGCCACACCTTCCAGAGAGCACTGCTGAGTCCCTGCTGGCACAGGAGAGTCAACAGAGGAGGCTACTCAAGGGGTCCCTACCTAGGGGTCTCACTTGTCACCCGAGGGTTAAAGAACAAAATCACAGCAACTTATAACAGGACACTCCAGTTGGGTAGCTCTGCCCTAAGGATAATTTTGGCATACCTGTCTGCCTTGAGGTGAAGATGAGGTACCAGAAAATAGTCAGTTCTTATGAGTCCTAGGCTTTTAGAAAATGGTCTGGTGTGTATTATACCCAACATTGAGCACCAAACTCTTTTCAGAAAGTATCCAAAATAACAATCACATAACACCAGCAACTGCAGCTAACATTGGTTGAGAACTCAGGATGTTCTGGAGCCACAGTGTCCAATAGTCCTTGACTAGCCACGTGTGGCTATTATATTTAAATGTAAAGTAATTAACATTAAGGTGCCTATAGAACCACCCCGTAGGGTTTCCAAGGAACAGCTGGTGGATTTGAACTGCCGAACTTTTGGTTAGCAGTCAAGCTCTTAACCACTGTGCCACCAGGGCTCCAAAGTAATTAAAATAAAATTAAGTCAGTTCCTCAGTTGCACTAACCACGTTGGCTATTGAGCTCTTGAAATGTGGCTAGTGCAGCTGAGGAACTGACTTCTTAATTTTATTTAATGTTAATTACTTTGCATTTAAATGTAACAGGCAATGTGGTTAGTGGTTACTGTATTGGACAGCCCAGATATAGAACATTTCCATCATCGCAGAAAGTTCTATTAGATGATGCTGTTGTAGACAGTGTTCTAAGCACTTTAGATGGATTAAGGCTGATACTGTTGTTATCCCCATTTTACAGATGGAAACCTTAGTCTACACAGGGACAATTTCTTCCAAGATGAATTTTTCTAGGTCTTTTTTCTACTGCCTAGAATCAGCCTAGAATAGGAGAACTCATTAGGTTCTCCTATTCTTTCACAATGACTTACATAACAAGGTGATCTTGCTACGTAACACATGCTCCAGTACCCACATCTCTTGTTTTTTGACTAATCTCTCTACACCCATGTGCAATGGCCATTGTGAACACTGCCGATTTCTGTAAGATACAAACTTGATAAACAAGAGAGGATTGCCTGGAGGACACAAAGCACTTTGGGGCAGGATGGAGACTAATATGTAGGGGCCCCTGCTTTCTAGGGACTGGTTGATTTCATCACCACCCACCCACCTGCAGATGAACCAGTCATTCCTGGAGGATCATGGAATTTCAAGGCAGACAAGTGCTTGAGCATCATCTACCCTAACCCCCTATTTTATAGACAAGGATACAGAGAGGTTAATTGCAGAACCAGGGCTAGAGTGAAGAATTCCCATCCCTGACCTGTGCCTTTATCTGTCATCTTCCAAAATTATCAAAAGTCACTGACGGGAGAAGGGCATAAAGCCACCTCCTTCTTTGCCCCATGTGGTCTTTGAGAGAATTTCTCTCTCAAAGGGATCAGCTGCCTCTCTTATTCTCAGTCTCCATGAGCCCAGAGGATAATATTTTACACAGTAGTCTGACTGAGGGGACTGCTTTGTGAAGAAATAAGAAAAACAGAAACGGGTAGATTTATTTTGGAACTGTCTCGAGTGTCAGAAGGTTTCAGAAAATGCTGTCCCTCTGGAACTCTGTGACCTCAGACCCTCGTAGTCAACTTGTTTACACCTCTTAGATTCAAGGATCCTTTCCTCAGAGCCTAAACTAGATCATAAACCATTGTACTTTCATTTCTAAAACTACTTTCAGGTGTGCCATCTTATTTTCTCTTCACAGCATTAACTCCACAAGCAAATGATTAAGTGGCTTGCCTGGGGCAAGAACCATGATCTGACCCAAAGTCTAGGGTTCCTCCCACTGGCACTTACACTCAAAGCATCTAGTGTCAGACCAGTGTCACCCAAAGCCCCCAGACTCATAGCAGCGCTCTGTCTGCCCTTCCTTATTGGAAGATCCTCCAGGTTCCTGGTACTCCAGAGCAGAGTTAGTGTTCAGACTACATGAAGAACATATGTACAGTCATGGTAGAATTTTTCTGGTGATGAATAACCACTTAAAAGAAATGAAATCTGAATAAAGTCTGGAATTTATAGTAATATACCAATGTCAGTTTCTTATTTTTGGCAAGTGTGCAATAGTTACATAAGATGTTAACATTAGGGAAAGCTGGGTGAGGAGTATTTGGGAACTGTCTGCACTATCTTCACAACTTTTCCATAAACCTAAAATTATTGCAAAATAAAAATTTATATCTAAAACTACATTATATTTTTAAAAAAAGGTTTTGAATCATCAAGAACTCACATCCTGATTGGCCATTCAAAGCAGTTCCAAATAGTATGTGCATTTATGAAGGTATTAGACTAAAGGCTCAAAGTTATTGATACTAACTACTAAAACTAAGAGTTACTGTCAGGTCGACTCATGGCAACCCCATGTGTGTCCGAGTAGAACTGTGCTCCATCAGGTTTTCAATGGCGAATTCTTCCGAGGTGCCTCTAAGTAGACACGAACCTCCAACCTTTCAGTTACCAGCTAAGCATGTTACTTAACCATTTGCACCACCCAGGGATGCCAAATTAATGACAGAATGAGATAAATGAAGTGAACATGCTTTTGAAAATGAAACCAAAAACCAAAACAAACCCATTGCCATCGAGTTGATTCTGACTCATAGCAACCCTATAGGACAGAGAGTAGAACTGCCCCATAGGGTTTCCAAGGAACAGCTGGTGGATTCAAACTGCTGATCTTTTGTTTAGCAGCCGAGCTCTTAACCAGCACACCACCCAAATGAAAAGTGCTATACAGATGTAGCCATTGTTACTGTAATTGTTGTTGGTGATTCATCCTGGAGAATTTGCCACAGAAAGCAGGCAGTGGGTTACTGACCACTAAGAGGAAATATGAGAAGGGAGCCTCACCTGGAAGCCCTCCAGAATCCCGTGAGCCTCCTTGTCTAGGTCCAGGTCGACCGGGGGCAGGCCCAGGTTGTTGCCATAGATCAGATACACGCGCCCGACCTGAATGTGGCCTGAGCGACTGTAGCCGGGTGCGCCCACCACAAGGTCGCCGTGCCCATCCTGGTTGAGGTCTGCTGAGGCCAATGCCCTGTAGAGGAGAGGAAAGAGCCCACTGCATATCCACCAAGTGCTATGGCAAAACTCTCTCCTGCTTCTTTCTTTCCTTTCTAGAATCCAGTGCTTTAACTTTCTCTCACTGATGTTTCCATCTTGAATGAGTGTTGTGATTATTCACTTCTGAGGTGGTATTCTATTTGTGTAATTCACAGTCTTACTTTCAGAGGAAAAGAAAAAATCACAAAAATGGACAAATCAGGAACTCTGGGCATTTCTGGATCACTGGACTTGAGTGGATAAAGAGCATCCTCACAAAGCAGTGTCCTAATGCAGAACCCTGAGCAGCCAAAGCATAACCCTGGGCTCAGGCTGAGAACAGAGAAGGAAATCGCATCCAAACCAACCACTCACTCCAGCCAGTGGCACAGGTTGCTTTCTATCTGCTCAACTAATTTCAATTTTTCACCTGATCGAAAGCAAGCTTGTTTTATATATATAGTTTTATTTCTACTGTAGTTACATAAGATGCCTTGTATTGGGCCAAATCGAATGTCCAACAAATTTAGTGGACATTTCTAACTAAAATTCTATGATCTATCAGTTTTAGAGATGGACAAACTGAGTCAAAAGTTCAAATGTCTCTGTTGGGGCTGGAAAGACCAAAAGTCATTTATTTATTCTAGTTCTTATGGCCACATAAAGAACAAATGGAAAAACCTGCCCACCAGTGCTCATTGCAGCACGGTTCATAAGAGCCCAAAGGTAGAAACAACCTAAATGTCCATCAACAGATGAATGGGTAAACAAAATGCAGTATAGTCATATAATGGAATACTACTCAGTTATAAACAAAAATGACATTTTGATGCATGCTACAACATGGATGAGCCTTGAAAACATGCTGAGTGAAATAAGTCACTCACAAAAGGACAAATACTATATAATTCCACTTCTATGAAGTAGGCTTAATAGTGGTTACCAGGCATGAAAGGGAGGGGGAAAGAGGGAGTCGTTGCTTAGGGGACACTGAGTTTCTGTTAATGGTGGTGGAATAATTTGGAAAAGGATAGTGATGATGATTGTACAACATGATGAACATAATCACTGAAGTATACATGTAAAACTTGTTGAATTGGCAAATGTTTTGTTGTATTTTTACCACAATAATTTTTTTCTTTAATGGCAGAACAGATGAAAAGGAGACGAGCAGTTTCTAAATGGTGTGGCTTCTGGTGACAGGGGACACACCAGTGGACAAGCTCATGTTCTCTTTACTCCTGAGGCTCAATGCGGCTAGTAATGGACCACAGGGAACAATGTCTGGAGGGCTGCCTCCCTCCGGTGGCTGCTGCCCAACAGGATCCATCTTCTGGACCTTTCAGGAAGGAGTCCAAAAAGAGCCATTATTCACCAGTGAATGGCCTGTAAAGACAGCATTCACTTCACACCCTGCTGTGCTAGAGCTGAATGGCCCAGAAAGGAAGGGCTCTCAGTAAATTGTTACAAGGAAATACAACGTGGTTTGGATTTAAGAATTGTGGTCTAAAAAAGATATTTCACCAAAACCTCCAAAAAACAGTCACTTTTATATACTTGGGCTCAGTTTTGGTTGATTTCTTAAAATCAGAGGAATCCCTAACATTCTCTTTATAAACTTATCATGGTGTACTAGGCTTTTACTGCATGAACTTCGAATAGTCAAATGACTATAATAGCTACCTATGGTATCATGGGAATCTACTTACATCCTTCTAAGGTCATCAGATTCCAAAACATCTGTAACAAGACATCTCCAAGAGTATTTGAAACTTTACAAATAAATATTCTATAAAATAATACTTTATTGTTATGATTGTTCAGTAAAGTGAAAGCTCCTTATGTATAAGCACAATTAGACCAATGTTAAGAGTGGCACAGTGGTTAAGAATTCAGACTGCTAACCAAGAGGTCGGCAGTTCAAATCCACCAGCTGCTCCTTGGAAACCCTATGGGGCAGTTCTACTCTGTCCTGTAGGGTCACTATGAGT